GAAGAGGGCTCCGAAGAGCCTGACTAAAGTCTGGTCAAGGAGAGATTCTTCATCTCCTAAACAACTGGTGGAGAGTGGTCCTACTTATTCAGATGGAAAAGGAAGGAGCATGAATTCTCCTGGGAAATGGAAAAAAATAAAAATAAAGGATTCAGGCTGAATGTGCTAAAGGTTATGATACTAGAGATTTAAATGTTGGCATCAAGTGGGAGGCTGGATAGTCAACACAGAGGGAAGATCAGAATACTAGATGTAAACTGGGAGTTGTCAGTGTATAGATAATATTTAATACCACGTAGTTGGGTGAGATCACCTAAATTGTAAGTACAGACTGAAGAGAGTCAAGGATTAAGCCCTGATAGCATCCCAGGCAGAAAGACAGAGAAGACCAATTTGGTGCAAAAGAGATACAGAGGAAAAAGCAGGAGAGTGTTCAGTTTTAGAGGCCAAGTAAACAAAAATCCAAGAAGGCAGATGTGATCAACTGTAATCATTTGTGGAGAATATACTGGATGATTACATACATATTCTTGAATAATTATATAACTTTCCTCAGCCTCCCTCTTTGCAAATGCATGGGTTAAATTAGGCAGTCTCTGAGGTTCCTTGCCATTCTGACTTTGAGAAGAGCAGCAAACAACTTGGTCCATTTAAAACCATTCCTTACTCTCATTTTTGTCCCAAAAGTAAAAAACAACTTGAAACTGGTGTAATACTAGTTAATATTTTTACACCTTTCTCCCCAGACTGGGGTTATGCTTCAAAGTTTTGTTGTAGGTAATTATTTAAAAAGCATGGCCCAGTTGGTCAGGCATTGGCCAGCAAAGCAAAAGCTTACCGGTTGGTTCCTGGCCAGGGCTCATGCCTAGGTTGCCAACTCAATACATAGTTGGTACATACGAGAGGCAGCTGATCGATGCTTCTCTCTCACATCAATGTTTCTCTCTGCCCTTCTCCTTTCCTTCCTCTCTAAAAATAAATAAATACAATCTTTTAAAAAAGGGTTATCATAAGTGCTGTTTTAATAATTCTTTAACAAAATTGTTATATCCAAAATGAGGATATAAAGAATCATTGCCAAGTTCCATTGTAGACGTCTGGGAAGAGCTGAGTGAGCCCTCGTTCAGCGAAGGAAGGAGTTAATAAAATCCAAGGTAGACAAATTAAATTATTCAAAATTTGTTGAAGAGTCGAGTCAGAAAAGGCTTAGGAATTTGCCAAGAGAAGCTAAGGTAGAGTAAATGAAGGGCAGAGAGAAAACTAAGTATTGTGTGTACCAGACCCTCTGACGGGGTTTGAGAGAGATGTGAGGCTGGAGTCAGAATTGGGCAAGGAAACAACATTAAGAGGCCCAAAGGTGGGGGACCTTGCAAGGTGGGTTCAAAAACAATGAGTTGCCCACTTGGAGTGAAAAGTTTTTTCAGGGTAGTAGGTAAGTCCAGAATGGCATTTGGGAGCCAGATTGTGGAGGACTTTGAAAATCACACTGAAGTCTGTTGACTTCAGGAAGCTATAATTCGGGGGCCCTCTTTCTGGCCCTGGAGCAGCCGTTACCAGCCAAGCTCAGCCCAGCCCGGCCCCGGACCTGATGACCCACTCCCACTGCACCGGCTGAACCCCCTGGGGAAATGCTCCCGAGGTGGAGAAGGTCCATATGCTAATGTTGCCATTTGGAAACCATTCATAAACAAATAATTATGGAGCACTTACTCCATGAAAGGCACTTTTCTAAATGCTGGAGATAAAATAATAGACCAAAAACCCTACCCTTGTGGAACTTACAGTCTAGGAAGGACAATAAACGAGATAAATAAAATATACAGTATGCTAGTGAATAACTGCTAGCTGAAGAGGAAAAAAGTTGGGAAGGGAGCTATGAAGTGTCAAGGGGATTAAATTTTAAAAGGTTAGGGAAGGACTCACAGGGAAAGAAGTTTGAGTAAAGCCCGAAAGAACCGGGCAGCGACCGAGGAGCCCAGCCGGGGGAAGAGCAGCGCGGGCCGCAGGGCGCCGGCGGAAGCGGAGGGACGCCGAGCGGACCAGGAGGACAAGGCAGGAGACCCGGCCAGAGGCGGCATCGCTGGTCGTGGCAAGGGCTTTTTTTTTGAGAGACAGGGAGCCACAGGATGGTTCTGGGCCCAGGCCTGATAGCATGTTTTCACAGGATCATGCTGGCTGTTCTGTAGAGAATAGACAGGATGCAAGGGAAGAAAACAAAAGACAAAAGAGATCAGGACAGCTTGGAGCAGAGTGGTAGCAAGTGGGGTAGTGAGAAATGGGGAGCAGTTCTGATATAATTTGGAAGGGTTTTCCGGCAGACTAGAAGAGGGTGTGAGGAGAGGGGTCTAGGATGGTATCTCCAAGGTTTTTGGTGTGTACAACCAGAAAAGTGAGGTCGCCTTTAACTGAAATGAGGAAAGCCGCAAAGGAGGCACATGGAGGAGGGAATGTCAGGAGCTCAGTTTTAGATATGTTAAGCCGAAACGCTTTTTTTTTTTGGTCATCCAATTAGAAGTGTTAGGTTGGCAGATACAGGGGCCTGGAGTTTAAGGGAGAACTGTGTGCTTCATCAACATCTAGGTAGTAATTCCTCGGGAGACCTTAGGATGAGGTCACCTGGAGAGTGAGTATGGACAGGCTAGAGCAGGGGTTCAAACACTAAGCCGTATGCATTCTCACTATTTAGAGGTTGGGAGATGGACAAGACCCAGAGAGGCAGGCTACGAGGGAGTGGCTAGAAAGACGGGGGACGGGGGGCGGGGGGAGATCAGGTAGGTGTTGTGCTGGAAGCCTGATTCAGAGATCAGGGTTGGGTCCCTGAACCACAGGAGAAGTGAAAACACCGATCGGAATCAATGCTGCGGATGTCCGTGGTAACCTCGAGAGGGGCCAGTTCAGTGGAGAAAGAGAAGCCTGGGCGGAGAGAGAAAATTGGAGAGAGTAAGTAGAAATTTGTTCAAGAATTTTTTTTTTTTTTGGTTGTTTCTCTTTTGTGCACGGATGGAAGGAAATGAGGCAATAGCTCAGGGGGGTGTGGGGGTTTATAAGCGGTCTCCCCATCCCCCCAAGCAGGGATGTATATAATAGCTTGCATATAGGCTGATGGAAATGATCCAATAGAGGGGGAAAAAATGATAATGTAAGAGAGAGGATAGCAGAAGAAGCTGGAAGTGTTGAATTGGCCTGGGGAGGGAGGCGACGTAGGGGCACCTAGTGAGGTGAATGTTCAGAGCTGATCAGAGTTTTGCAGACCCCAGGGTTAAGGGTTAGGGAGCAAAGTAACTGAAGAGATCTGGTAGATTGAGACAGGATGGGGATTGGGAGGGAATGGAGGAGTCAATGGGGGGATGATCTCCAAGTTGAAGAGCAGGCCCAATGGGAGTGAAGAGGAGGGAATAAAGGGATGGGAAGCTGTGATGGCAGAGATGTTGGTATCTAAGATTTCAAAGACAAAGCCATTTCCAGGGATGACAAGGTTCCAAGTGCCTCCGTTAATTCTGAGTGGAAATAAAGCTGCTCCACATAACTATTGAACATTGGGCCACATGCCAGTTGCTGCGGTAGCTGAGGGATACACGGGAGGTATACCCAGGGGGTCCACAGATGGCTGTGACGAGGACAGGTGAAAGGTGGTAGAGCTGGATGGGGCGAGCCCGGGAGGCAGAAGGTCCGGCTACACAGTGTGAGGCGGTGAGCTTCCTGTCCCTGGAAGGGGCCAAGAGGACACTGGCGACTCTTGAGTTGAGGATTTTAAAAAATGAAATCTTGAATTTAAAGTTTTAAGTTCATCTGCAGAAGACTATGAGAACTTTAAATCATAAAAGTTTGATACTATGATAATCAGATTTTCTGTATACATTAGAATTCTAATTTATCCCATAAAACTTATTTTTTCAGGAGAGTGAATTTTATCTTGCTCAGAATCGGTAACAATTTGTCACATCCATTCTCTCCCAGTTTTCTCAAAAGCCCTCCAGTGGTCTGCTCATTCTGGCACTTATATGCAGGCATGTAAGTATTAGATTAAATGATGTATTACAAATGTCCTGTTCTTGGGTTTAATGTAAAAAAATCTCTTTTACTTTATTCATTTTAGTAAACTCCAGTAAACTCTAGCAGATTCTAAATGTATGGTCCTCCTAATTAGGAAAATGATAGTGTGTACCATTTTTCTAATTTATATTTATCAAGTCCTCATAAAAAAGAATTAAGGCAAAGTCTATAAAAAACCTGATAATGTATCACATTATCATTTCTGTCATCTTCTAGAAGTTTAAAATAAGAACATAAAAGAGCAGTGTGGCCAAATGTAGATTTGCTTAGTTTTGTTTTTTGTTTTCGTTTTAGACAGAGGGGACGGGAGGGAGAAAGGGAGAGAAACATCAATGTGTGGTGTCCTCTCAAATGCCCACCCCTGGGGACCTGGCCAGCAACCCAGGCATGTGCTCTGACTGGGAATCGAAGCGGCGACCCTTTGGTTCACAGGCCGGCACTCAATCCACTGAGCCACACCAGCCAGGACTGTGAAAAACGTCTTTAGCACCATTAAACATAAATGATGATTTACTCTGTAGTTAGGGCTCATCAGATAATAAACATCCTCTGAATGGAGGTAATCCATAATAACAGGGGATTATTTTCTTAATATTCCGGCCTGATTCTTGATCATCCCCTGAAATTATCAATGAGTAGGAGGTCACCTAGTACTGGCTGAATTTAGTAATCAGTATAATCATGGTAAAGAAAAGAAACATTACTGAATGTTAACTACAAAAAAAGTGTCAAATAGGAATGGTTTTTAAACTGTACAGTGTTTTTGGATCATTTCTATCCCTGTCCTCTATTTCAGAGAAATAACAATACCCAAATATACTTAGAATATATAGAAACAGCTTTAAAAGCACAGTTTATTTTTTCTTTTATTCAACACAGACTGTTTCCTTCACTTTAGTAATTTTTTCTTCCCCTTATTCCCTATTAATTCCATAAATATAATCACGAAGCCGTATAGAAATTTGCTAAACGTTTTTATTGTATTTACTGAGAATGTCACATTATTCCACAGTAAAATGATTACAAAAGCTCTTTTCATTAAAAAGATTTTGGTTATATAGTTAATTACACATTATAAAAATCAATGATAAATTATACTCTTTAAAAAGAAATACTTTTAAAAGGCACATACTAAAATACTTCATCCTGACCAAACCCAACGTAATCATTTTGTACAGTGATCTATATTTAAACAACTCTTGTGCCAAAAACAGCCTCCTGTTTCAGTAGCGGGAGGAGCAGAGCTACACCGGGGTGTAGAGCACGCTCCTGAAGTACTTTGGTTTTGATGGTTAAGATAAAGCATGTTTTTCTTTGAAAATAGGCACAATAATTTAAAAAATTACTTTTCAGATAAATATTAAAATAAGTTGGCATGAAAAAGGTCATATTATGCTAAGAAATACTTAATGTATCGAAGCTCTCCCTTAATAATGCTGCAGGGTGCAGGCTGCAGTAGCTTTAACTTTCAGGCTAAGATAAGCAAACTGGCAGAACAAACTGACAAAATACAAACGTATCAAGCATTGTGCTTGTCCAATCTTACGTATCTCAAACCACAATATATTAAGTTATATCAGAAGTTATTATTAAAGGGCTACTTAATTTCACTCTGCTGTACCTTCTGATGAACAAGTCCCTATTCTCCCTCCCACATGTGACTCAGGTTAACAGTGGAAAGGCCCTCTAGGTGAACAGAGAATCCAGTGAACTCTAGCAGATTCTAAATGTATGGTCCTTCTAATTAGGAAAGGGATAGTGTGTACCATTTTTCTAATTTATATTTATCAAATCCTCATAAAAAAGAATTAAGGCAATGTCTATAAAAGACAGCAGGATTAAATAAACACCTGTGGTCCCCACTTCATCTGAATCCTACGAGCAGGTACGATCAGGACTCAGCAATGCACATGGAATTCTGGGTGGACGTTTAGGAGTGAGTCACAGAGCCGCAGAGCCACAGCCACAATGCTGGACTGATAAGTCCTTGATACATAGGAGGTCTGGGATTTTCTGACACTGACTCAGACATACTTCTTACCAATTTAAGTCTCTTGGTTAAATCTGAAAGATGGACAGTGATACTTTCAGTGTGAATTTTTAAAAAAAATGTAACTCACCCTCCAGGTTTTAAGATTGATGACTCCCAAAACTCTGATTTAAGCCTGAAAAATACCGTAAAATATCTACTTAAACTAGCACAATATAAAGTTATTTTGTAAATATATAAGTGTATAATAAAATATACATATTTTTCTTACATACCCTCAGAGTTACTGAATATTTTTAGTATCGAACTGTGCTAGAAACAATGAGCAGAGATGTTTGGAGGTTATGTTTATCATACAGTTTTAATTTGGTGATCATTTTGTTTTAGGTTTCACACTTTAAAGCCTTGTGAGCTTACAAAAAGTACATACCCCTAAGTCGATATTTGAACTCAATAATTGCTTTATAGATAAGTTTTTTTCCTCGATGCGTATACAAAATGCAACATACATAATACTTCTGGATCTCACATTTCTACTGTGTTACATATACTTTAAAGCAAAAAATAATTTTGAAAGAAGCATGAAATTTAGCACCAGTCTTGAGTGAATCTTTCTTTGGTGGGATGAGAGGGAAGGCACCAAATACACAGTCTGTTCATAGCCTGGGGTCACGGTACAGCTCCCTCATCAGCAAGCCCTAGGCCCCTGAAATAATATACCAATATTGGCTGAATAGTGAAAGGCACACTTACTCATTGCTTTCTAGCAATTAGAATATATTACAGAAGACTGAACTTAGGGGAGAGCACAGTAAAAAAGGTTTGTATTTACACACATTTAAAATGCTTTTAAAATCCACTCTTTTAATAACTGACAAACACTGGTAAGTATTCTCTGGCAAAGAATAAAAGTCAGACAAGGTGGGACTAAAGTAAATTTACAGTTGTGAGTACACAAAACACAGAGTTTATTCTTGTATTATTACTTATTATATTATTTTCTGTAACTGTAAACCTACTTTTGCCCCACTCTGTGTATCAGAGGCCCAGTATCACAAAGCTAATTAGATTTCTTAATGTTATTTTATATAGATAGTTCTTATCATTTACATTCTTAGGAACATTCAACTCCAAAATACTCTTCTAACAGAATATTGAAAGGCTAGAAACATCTTTAATTAAATTGGGAACCTGTGGGTTAACTTCTACCCTATAGATACAGTCAACAACAGCATTTTCAAACACTCCCGTGAGACAAAAAATTGCCTCACCAGGAAACTGTCTCACTTTACCATGAGGAAAAGGGAGCCTTTATAAAAGTTCAACATGTAAGCTATTAGGTTAAGGCACAAGCATCCAATCTACTGTCAATGATCATCCATCTTCCTGCCAAGAAAACACAAATGAAAACAAGTCCTCCTCGTCAAGCTGCCAGTATAATTTGAAAAGCCACTGGTAAAGCATTTTAGCAAGTGTTCATTATTACACATAGATTTTTCCTTTGTTAGATTATCCACAGGCCACATGAGTTAATGCTTTTTTTTTTTCCTTTTATATCCGTTTATCAGAACAAAGCACTTAAGAAATTTGACTGCTTTGAGCCCCTTAACCACTTGCAGCCCCTCACCGTTCTGCTCCAGGGCCCCCGCGCCCTCCCTCTGGGCCCTCCCTCTGCTGGAGCAGGGCTTTCCACCCGACACCGGAAGCTGAGGTAGGTGCGCCGTCAGAGTCAAGTTGAGTGTCATGATCAAGTATTATTGACCTTATTAAAAAGGTTTAATTTCATTTCCAGTATCTTTCCAATGTCCTCCTAAAAAATTAAACTCCTCTGTGTCATAAATGAGGTAGTCTTACATTTGTCAAGAAAATAATACCAGGGGGCATTTCTGTGAATGTATAGAGGTCAAAAGGATCAATGTTTACTACTTAAAAATTGATAATTTAAAAAAGAACTAGCTAAGTAAACTACTATGTCCCAAATTTCAAGGTTTCTTTCAGTGATTCAAAGATGTGGCAATGAATTGTTTCATGAGTCTTTATTGTCTTAGAAGGAGCCATCTGGTAAGTCCACATTTATGAGAGTTCAATAACTGTGCTTCTAAGTTGTGTTCCAGTTTCACATTTAGCTCTGGGCCTTGGGCCCCTTATTCTTGAAAACTGTAACCTATCACTCTCTAGTGTATTTATCAAACAAAGCATTAGTCTCTGCCAACAAATACAACGGACAGACGTGGCTGCGGCTAGGACACAGCGGCGAGCCCAGGAGCCGCCTGCTGCTGCTGAGCAGCCTTCTGATTCTTTGCCTGCCAGCTGTTCTGACTCCACTCCAGATGCTCCTACTTTCCTTCCACCAAATCATCAGCCAAAGGAATTGGCGAGTATAACACAAGCAGAACCAAAGACTGTCAGTAAAGTAGCAAGTCTTCCTTCTGCGGTGTGTTCTTATCGACATTACCACACCACCATTATGAATGGCAAATTGTGCTTTTGTTTTAATGACAAAGCAAAAGGTTTCGGTTTTTTAAAGAGCCAGTTAACCTATATGGATGGTGTACTTTTCTATTAGCCAAGACACCACTTGTCTTTCAAATTAAAAAATAATATAGATGTAAAAAGAAATAAAGTTTTCTTCCTCTTATTTTTCACATATTGGAAAAAAGCAACCATCTTTAACCCAATACATAAATAATTGCTCCTTCATGTTTATGCCAGCAACAATAAAGTTTTCAGTGTTAGAAATTTCCTAAGGAGTTTAAATAAGTTTTAAGTACTTCTTTAAATCGTTTACACATTTAAAAACTGGAGATGATTAGCTTACACTCTTCCGTTGTATCGCACCTCTAAACCACCAAGTGTGACCCAGCCTCACTGGGAGCTGCATCCTCCGTGAGGTGCTCTCAGGACTAAGATTTAGCAAAACTTTAAAGGAACAGGAAAATCAAAGTAAAAAATTATGCTATCCAAAAATATGTATGCTAAGAACTTGACAGTCTTTTCTCTCTAAGTATTTGCCTTAAACATTTAAAATTTTATGTTAGCACAAAAGATGCCAATTATATGAAACTTAATACTTCGCCCAAATTTTAATCGCATAATTAAAAAAAAAATTTCAGTGTAGACCATTAGCACTCTCAGTTGCAAGCCGAGAGCAAGCCATACTGCAGGTTACATAAACTGGATGGGGTTCCGAGCCTCTGAAGCCACAGGGACCAGTAAGGAGTGCAGCTGAGCAGCCAGTAGAATTAAGCAAGGATGTTGATGGACTGTTCTTCAGCAGATTTTTGAAGGATGGGGGAAGTACAGGGAAAAAGGATGATAAGGATGAAGATAATATGAAAAGAGTAAAGATATGTTTACTTTACAATTAAGTGTACATTTACTTAAAAAGTGTGAAAAGTTGAAGCTAACAGCATTAAAGGTTTCTCCATACCTGGGCAGAGCCCATGTGATCATCCGCAGACATATATAAACAGATAATATATGATCATGAAATGCAAATGAATAGAATTGGAAGTTTAATGCAATCACTCTGCAATTTTCAGTGAAAATTACAAGTCTTCCAGTAGGGTTATAGACTAAGCATTGTAACTGTGATCAAAGAGATTTATAAATTGAATAAAGTATCAATAACCTGAAGTGGATGGATCCTAACAATATCCACTGCAATAAAATTTAACCAGAACTTTTCTGAAATATCCTTAGGCATTGGTTACCTGTGTATCTAATCCAGGGTTTCTGTAAAAAGGAGCACTAATTGTTCCCCTTTTTGTGTTATTGTTCACCTCAAATGCAAGAAACTTTTGAATGTTTCTTGCAAGTGAGAATTTGTTGAATCCTATCAGAATTAGGATGATTATGAAAAAAAAAAATTTAGGCCCATCTGAAACCCTCTTCAGAATTAGGAACAATTTACTTCGACAGAACGATTAATATTTCTTGAAACACGAATCTTTATGGATATCAGTATTTTTCATTGTCTTAGTTTGTAGGACTTTTAGAATTTTAGATTTTTAGAACTTTTTGTACCAAACAACATATTACTAAATACACATTTTATAGAGTTTAGCATTTTACCTTTTATACTTTTTAACTTTATATTATTACAGCACAGTACTATAAGAGTCTATTATAATAGAGCTTTTTTGGTGTTATAGATCCTGTTTGACTCATTCCATTGAACTGAAAACTACATATATGTAATTATTATATGTGTAATAGTCTGAGATCTAATTTTTATTATAAATATTTAAGTCAGTCACTTTGCTCTTTCATTACGAAAATTAACAAAGCAACATCAAGTCTTCAAGTTTCAGATTATTACCTTCCGTGCCCCCACCCGCCTCCCCAAATTAGCCAAATTTGGAAAGGGAAAGCACTTTGGAAGTCTTTACTGAGTAAATATTCTACTTTAGAATTATTCTTTCTGTAAAATTGGGGGTGGGTGGGTCTTAGGAGTCTCAGGCAGGTTTTACGATTGGTCTTAGTTATATGTTCTTGCTTGTCTCAAAAGCACTAATAATGAGAAAATGATGTTTTTATAACTGGAAATGAATAAATGAAAAACCTGATAATGTATTACATTATCATTTCTAAGTCATCTTCTAAAAGTTTAAAATAAGAACATAAAAGGGCACTGTGGCCAAATGTAGATTTGCTGTGTTTTTATTTTTGTTTTTGCAATAGAACCTTCCAAAAACCAAATTACCTAAGTTTCCTAAATATGAAATATAGAAGTATTGGAAGTAGTAAGTTGCTGAGGGTCTTCACAATCAATATTATTTAAAATCCTCTTTAAAATTATTCCAAATTTAGTGTTTATACACTTTGAACTTTCAAGATTGCAGACAAGAGAGTTGATACTGAGAGCAAGGGTACTGGGTTTCTAGCTGTTTAACAGCCTCACTTCCCTCGAGCTGCTGTGTGCCGCCTCACTAATCCCACCAAGCACAGGTCCGCAAGCTTTCCAGGCGCCTTCAATCCTTGGCCAGAGACAGGGAGCAGGAGTATCAGTTCACTGCCCTTCAGGAACAAGAATAGCTGAGAAGTAAAGTAGGGAGACAATGGACTTTCTCTCATTACAGAGACGATAGAAGCAGGTGGATCCTGGAGGTGCTTTAGAAAAAGACACCATTCTTCCCTGGTTACATTTGAGGAAAATCTAATATATATATCTACATTTAGGACTTAAATATATTTGCATATTATTAACTTTAAAGACCTAAATAAGAAACAAAAATATACTAAGGTATAATTCCAGGGACTCAGAAAGTGTTACTATTTTTTTTTTTTTGTAGATGCGTATAGGTCATGACATGACTTTGGTTTTAATTCTTGGTCCTTAAACCTCTAATAGCTTTCTTATGATTGTCTGTATATACACAGAAAAAAGCACTGGGAACATTAATGGGGAACACACTAGGAAAAATACACATGAATGCAAATTTCAGCCAGAAAGTTTTGGAAATGTAGCAGTTGTTTCTCCTTACAAATGCTTTTGACCTTTCAAGACCCACTGTTTTCATAAATCAATTTGAGCAACTGTGTCTATCAGAAATTGATAGTCTCTTCACAAACACAAAGATTTTTTTCCCATTGTGCCTGAAGCTGCAACTTGACAACATGCTCAATAAGGCTTTGTTTAAATATCAGGTCCTAGTGCTAACAAATTCCGAAGTCCGAAAAAAATTCTGCGTTAAAATTGCCAGAATATCTTTCATTCATTCTATTGTACTTTATTGTTAAAATTTAAACAAACTCAAAAATTTGGGGCGTTTCTGTCTGCTTGAGTAAAACACACTGCAAACCCGAAGGGAATAAATATAAATAGAAGAAATACGCCTGATTTTGGAACCGCTCTGCCCTGTGAACAGGACCCTTTCATCTCACATACTGATTATGAGAATATCACTAGCATCTGGGGCAGGAAGACCCACACACTGGAGCGAGCGAGAACTTCATTCCATAGCCTGGTTGACAGGCAAGCAGCTTTAATGCAGTCTGGAGGTTTAGGCAGATCTCATATTACCTAGAATACAGGCTTAAATTTTGTAAAAAACTTTCCAAATAGGAGAAGAAATTAAAATATAGATACCAGAACTAAAAACAGTATGTGAGACAAACAATATTTCCAGTCCTAATCAAATTGCAACATTTTCAGTATAGCTTGAGGTATTTTTAAATATTTATAGAAGCTAAATAGTATTCACAGTTTCCAAAGTTGCTTTTTACTGAAATAAATTCAAATCCCATACTATTGGCCTTCCAGACATGTTTTCATGTACCAGAGCCTCTGCCCTCAGACCCTTGGAAATATCAGACAGCTATTCAGCGGCGCGAACTGGTTCTTGTAGTAATAAGGGCTCCATTTCCCATTATTGTGCTATTCTTAGGGTATGATTAAAAAAATAAGAAATTTGCAATTCATATAAAAAGAAAACTTGCTTAAACTTCTGAAAGCAAGTCCAGTCTGGTGGAGGTATATACGACATTAAATAACAGAGTCAGACTCTTTTTTTAAGATTCCAGGTGAACTTGACAGCAGAGTGTTCTGGTTCTCCAGCATTTTCTCTGTCTTTCCTCCTTCAGTGGTTCTGCTGATTTCTCTTTGCTTTTTACTGTGGATCCACGGGATAAAACAAAGGATAGCACCTCCAACAAGGGGAGGGATTCCAGCGAGGTAGAATGCCACATTATAGGAACCCAGCTTGTCACGAAGTAGCCCTGGGAAGGGAAAAAACTGTCACCAAGAGAGAACACGTGTGGCCCTTAGGTGTCTCAGATCAGTCACACTGATGGCCTGCCTAGTCCCCACCTAGTAACTTCATCTCAGTAGAGCTAGTTCAAATATCTCCTTTACTAAACATTTTTTTAGGAAATGGGTCTGAAATATAAACCTTTTCTGATATGAGGAAGGAAAAGATCTTGTATCTTTAATCTTGTCACAGACTACAAGGTATTACATGGAAAAAAATATTTACAACCAAGCTCTGGCTTTCCCAAGGCCCTGCGGAGGCCTCCGGCTGAAAACTCACATGCGCACCTCAGAGTGCCTGCACTGCAAACCTCCCTTGGGCCTGTTTGTTTATGAAATAACACAAAACTATTTAAAATTATAATTTAAGATCATGAAAAATGTATAAATCTAAGTTAGGAAGAAAAGGGTATTAAACACATTTTGGAAAGATAACTAAGGTTTATCCTCCCAAGAGGAAAATGAGAACCTATGCGTGGCACTCTAATAGAGCCTTGAATTCTGCTTCTGAAAACTGTTGTTTAGCATACTCCTTATAGTTAATTCTCTCCAACACAATCCAAATTTTAATTAGTTAGCGTTTTTAAACTTCTTCCACTTTTTACAATACGACCTCAGCTACTGGGAATGCCCAGGACCCACAATGTGCTAAGTGCCAGACTCTGCCGAGGGTCTGTCCCGTTGAGCGCCGACCCGTTTAAAAAGGGTGTGCTCATTCCGGATGGGAACCTAAAATGTACAATATGCCTAAATATGCAGTTTTTCTATCTTCCGAATTGGAACATTTCCTATATAAGTGAACTTTCAGACCTACAAAACTAATTCCTTTGTTTGGCTATAATACTACGACCCTTTGAAACCTTCTAGCGAACCAGGGGTTTTAGCTCCCAGTTGCCGTATTGCTTTGCCTGCTTCAGAAGTTTCCTGTTACCTTCTTTATTCTTGGTCGGTTACCAGCTACTTCTAGTAGCAAACACCGTTCCTACTAAAGTGCTGCTTGCCATCTACTGTGGACTTGGAAACCCTAAAAAGCTAAGCTTGTAAGATGTAAAAATAGTGTGACTAGTGGGGGAGAGGGTCTCCTTCAGAGACACTGTGACCTGGAGAACTTGAACTCTCTCTGGTCTGCACAGAGGCGACTCCACCGGCTTGGTTCACGACTGGGCCCCCGATGGCAAAGTTGCTAGATACGTGTGGTTCTGTACAGGAGAGTGGACTGAGCTGAGCCTTAACTGAGCCCTTCACGTGCCAGACATAGACGATAGTACGCCCATTTAAATTTCATCATAATTTTATCAAATCTTATCATGTCATACTGGCACCCAAGTAATACTGGACATGAGACATCTTTACACTCTCATCCAGAATATTTCTGAAGGTGAATTTCACATAACATAAAATTAACTATTTTAGTGGCTTTTAGTACATTCACAACATTGTGTAATCACCACCTCTGTCTAGTTCCAAAATGTTTTCCTCACACCAGAAAGAAACACCATTCCCATTAGGCAGTTGCTCCTTAAACCCCCTTCCCTCTGGTCCCTGGCAGCCACAGGTCTACTCTCTGCCTCTCTGGACTTACCTATTCTGGATATTTCACATAAATAGAATCATGCAGTATGTGGCATTTTGTATTTGGCTTTTTGTAGCACACAAAAACAAAAGACCAGTTAAATACTAAGTTATATATTTTACATACAACTGAAACTCAGGGCCTGTAGAAATAATGCTATAAATTAATATAATTACTGGAGAATAATTACGTTTACCTGCAATGGGTGGGCCCACAGTCATGGGTACAGACATGAATCCGAGGAGAAATCCAATTGCTTGGGAAATGTCCTGGGGACCAGCTAACTCAAAGGCAATGGGGGCCATAATTGAAATGAAGCATCCATCAAAGAGGCCCATGACGAGACAGACAGCTATGAGGGCCCCAAAGACATTACACAGGGGAATCATCATGGACATGAGACCAATGAAGAAGAAGGAGAGTACCTAGGACAGACACCACAATGTCAACTCTACGTTCAGGAAAAGTGAATTTCACAATTACTGAGCAACATGTTTAGAAATTTTAAGTAGTTGTTGGTTTGCCACCTCCCGGCCCAGTTCACCTTTATTTTATATATGTAACAACTTCCATAATCATCCCCTCTGCATTCCCCATTCTCAGCACATTCTCAGTATTTCCATTAGGGAGGCGATTCCAACCTTTTTCATCACATGACACACATAAACTAATTATTAAAATTCTGCAGCACACCAAAAAAATATTTGTTGTCAATCTAACAAAAAAAATAGGTATAATTTTGATTCGCACCAGACAGCTATTGTTGTGTTGGCTGTTTTTATGTTGTTGTTTTTTTAATTTGACAATCTAAGGGAAAAGAGGTCAGTGCCCCTGACTAAATAGTCAGATACTGTATGTTTCAAAAATCCTTGCGGCACATCAGTTCTTTAGTCAGTTCTGTAAGAAATCGTTTACTTAAGAGTTTCAAATGTATTACTATATATTTCAAGCATATTTCTTCTTAATTATTTGACTGCAAGTTCTCCATTTCTCAATTCAAACTACATTACTTTAGAGTCTCTTTCTCAATTATTTGACAATAACTGTTATTTAAATTTGTTAAATTTTAATAACTGCCAAATTAAAATTGTTCATTGTTATTTCAAAGTAAACTTTCTTGGTTTTTCTTTAAGAATTTTCTTTAAGAACTGAGTTCACAGAAATTCACACATTTACTCTTGGCATTTCTCTCACGAGCTGTCTCTTCCTTTCTTGTGGCTCCAGTAATGAGAAACGATGCTCTTTCCCAGCGGATGTCACTATCCGAAAGCAGCTCCGGCCGTCCACAGGCCCGGCTGGGGAGGACAGACCTAGTCCTCACATGCAGGGGTACTTGAGCCACAAGGAGCACAGGCCAAGGTTTAGCAAACTGTTCCTACAGGAGGTTCAGTGCTTCACCGCTTCCCAAAATAAATACTGATCCGTATATCGAATACTGATCTGTATATTCTGGGCCCCAGAACTTGAAAGATGAATAAATTTAGTATTACAGGCAATCTTTTTTTCTTTTTCTTGTTTTCTTTTGGTCTGTTTTCCTCAAATACAGCAGCTCTGGTTAGATTTAAATAAGGGTTCAAAGGTCTCTAATTCTCTCCTGGGTTCTGGCACTGACATTTCATAAGGGACTGACAGTTGTGATGGCCTTCTTTTGTTTTCTTAAAACCACCCAAGGAAATATATTCTTTTAAAATATTACAGGCTCTAGAAGAATAACCCCCTGCTTGATTTAAGTTATGTACCTAAGAACAAAAATAAAATTTTTTTGTTTGCTATTACCATTCCCATTTCTATCACAAAGAGAGCGTTCTTGGAGAACTGTGGGTTTAACTGTTGCTCAAGCATCTCAGTATAGTTCAAGAAGAAAAATGAGCTGCACTTGAATGAGCAGAAGGCGTTTGCAGGGGCAGACGCGGACGTGGCCAGAGTCAGATTCCAATGTTCCTCCTATGAATTGATACCATATAAATTTCCTGACTTTTCGAGCCCCTGGCTAGGAACCCAGGGCAGAATGCAATGGGCAGCAGAAGTCCGTCGGACCGTCACAAACTAAAGGGAAGCGTTCAGGCCACAGCCAAGTGGCTGGCTGCTTCTAAAGCACAAGAGGCCACAGTCCTTTTGAAGTGCTTCTCAGGGAGGCTGTTCAGCTCTCTCCACAGCACAGGACCACCACCATTTCTGCCCGAGGGAGGAGCCGGCCCCAGTGCCACGGCCTAGCTGAGGAGAGGGGGCCTCATGCAGGATGGGGAACTGCTAAGTATTTGGATAACATTTTGGAAATAGCTTATGCCGGTAAAGCAAATACCCTTATCCTAAGGTATCTTTAGGGAAATATAAAATGGAACAAAACACTGGGCAACACAGATCAGTTCATCCTACTTCAACTGGAAGAGGAAGTTTACACAAAAAGATGGCTATGAAAGGGATTAATTTTTCTAAATTACAAAAGTAACTCATGAATATATATAGTCATATATACATTTTTATATATATTTAACCTTATATATATATATATATATATAAAACAAATTCACATCTTAGAAAAATATATACAGAGATATATGAAAATCTTCCTTCAACCCTCTCTCATCCTCAACCCATACCCACCTTCCTCATCAGGAGCAGCCCCCCAGTCTGGTTTGCACACCCTCCAAGACGTTTCCTGTGCACACCCGCATGTCGTTTGGGCCTGTCTGCTTTACACTGAGGGACATGATGTCCGTGTTTCACTATGGCCATGCCACACAGAAATATGACACAATGGGAAAGTGTTCTAAATCCAAAGATTTCAATCTTTTCATTGCAGAGTTATAACTTCCAAACCTTTGGAACACTCACACTTCTGAAACAGTTACATAATTAAAGACTCAAATCCATAGTAATTTAATGGCAACTAGACAGGCCTGTGAAGTTAAAGATGGTAAGAAAATACCAAAACACAGCCTTTTTCCTTCCCAATAAAGTACATATGAGTACATACTCTGGGAACCTTTGCAAAGATTTTCTTGATCCATTATTATTCTATATAATACAGTTTGGTTATCTCTTCATTCAGGATTTAAAATTGCGAGGCTGAAAATACCTGAAACCCAGGACCTTGACAGACACCTGAATTCAGAATGCTGAGCAGAAGTGTGAAATACACCCCTGAACTCTGTTTCCTATGACAAAGCCTCCAGTTCCGGATAACCAAGGTCTGCTTTCTTGAGACCTGTTCCAAATTAGGATCTGCCTAGTATTTAATAGAATATTAAAACATAGTAAGAGCAAGGATTGATTAATCATCCATTCTGGGCCAGCACTCTGTATAAGACATCACCACAAATCCTCACCACAGCCCTCTGACAGTTGTGGAGACAAATTAATGGCAGGACCGGTGTGAACTCCCGTGTTATTCCAGATCCTGTGCTTTTCTGCTCCGTGGCCTTGAAAACCCAAGATGACTCTGACCAGAAATTAGGCCGGGGAGAGGTTGTAAAGCATATTCTGTGCCCGGCGGCCACTCAGAAGTGGTTTCAAGGGACAGGGAGGGGAGAGAACTGTCAGAGCCCTGTGAGGCTGGGATATAATGGTCAAAAGCTGGGAGCGGGTATGAGAAAACACCAACAAAAGGAAGGGAAGAGAGGTAAGCAGCAGGAGCACTCCAATCCTTAAAGGCTGGGCCAAAAGGCAGGCGGACAGGGAGGCAGAGGGAGAGGAAAAGGAATGAGCAAACAGGCCACGCTGGAACTGGTCACAGCAGAGCCAAGAATCAACACCACGCTGACTTTTGGAAGCTGGGGCAAGGAAGGCAGGACGAAGGCGAGACGGAGCAGGGAGTGATGTCGAGTGTGAGCTGGGCCTGTACCGGCTGGCCCGGGGCCGCTGCGTTCACAAGATGGGCCCATCGGTGCCTCCCAGCAGCCACAGGACACACTGAAGTCCTTCTTTCTCCTTCACAGATAAGACCTAAAAGAGGACCTAAAAGGTTGAGACTAACCTTTATCCAAAATGACATTACTGGTTTTTAACTCCCTGCTATGTTACTGCAGAGCAAACATGGGAAAAATGAGGAAAGTCTATATTTTCTTTTGTAAACTACATGTAATATGTATTAAAATGTGCCCCCAAACGTCGTTAATGACCTGACTGCCCTATGAGCAGCAAAATTTTCCACAAATTGGAATAAAACATGGCTATGTAAAATATACCCTAACTGTATGCGCTGAGGCGCCTTAGTGTGGCCCTGCATCCTCTCTCACCTGGACCACCGCACTGATCTCATTGGTCTCTCCCCCCCCCCACTCCCGTTGCGCTCTTGCCTCCCTCCCAGTAATCTACCCGCCACATGCAGAGCGACCACGCTGACTTTAAAATGTCAATCAGGCCCCATTGTTTTCCAATGAAGACCCACTACACTTAAAGTAAAGCCTCTTCATCTGGGCTCTGAAGGCTCTGTATCACCTGGCCCCTCCTGGCTTCCCAGCCTGTTAGCATGCCACTCTGCCTTCCCGGATTCCCGGGCAGGTCCATCTTTTTCCTACCTCAAGTCCTGCTCCAGGAACTCCGGGACCATATCTGTCTTGTTTATATCATGCCACCAAGGTCTAGGTGGGTGCACAGCACACACTCAGAAATTTTATTTTTTGCTTTTTTGAAAATGAAAGAATTTGGGTTCTTTATTGTTCTTATGCTGCCTTCCTCATGGCTTTTGCTCTTCAAAACAAAAATATGTCAGACTGGGGACCCCAGAGATGGTGCAGCTTCCTTTGGCATGGCTGCTGGGCCTGCAGAAACACCATTTTTCGTTGTGGGGTGGGAAGTCTCTGCATGGGCTATGCCCAGAATTTTTTGAATGAAAAGCTGGAAGTTTGTAATGCAACAAATTTCCATTAGAGGGCCCCCTTGACACATGAGAACAGGATCAAATGTTCTGCTAAATGTTTCCACAATAAGGTGTTAATATAAGGGGGAATGATCCCAGTGAAACCAGAAAGATTAGCATTTTGCTGCTTGTCACTACCAGAACCAGTAATAGAGAGAAGGATCGAATCTTTATGGGTGCTTTATTCCAATGGCCAGTGACCTTAGGAAGACAGGAGGTTATGTACCCTCGAAAACCATCTCAACATCTCATCTCAAGCCAACTTTTTTATAAGAAAGGGTAGATAAGGGGTTTGAAAAAAGGTTGTTTGGATAGAAGGGTAGGTAAGGGGTTTGCAAAGAAGTTTATCTGGATAAGACTTCCTAGTACTTCTTTATCTGTTGCTCAACAATTCTTTATCTGCATCACATATGTTCCTTTCCTGGAACACAATGGCTCAGATACCATCTCCAAGGCTTGCAGATTCCTAGGGCACATAGGTTGAATTGTTTGTTGGCCTCCTGGAGTCACGTGGTCATGCATTCCAGTTCCTAGAACAACAGCTTTGCACATGCATTAGTCACTGAAGCCTATCAACTAAGGCTAAAATCTTTAACTCCTGAGTTCCCCTATCAACAGTACAGTAAATACTTGAAAAAGCAGAACTCTCCCACACTTCCTTCTAGCTATCCGATCAGACTCCGTGTGGCCATCTGCCTGGACCTACATGCACAGAGACACCCACAGAGAGACAGCCTCTCTGTTCCTCGGTCTTCACATCGATCAGTGGAAATAACGGTACCTTCCTCAAAGGGTCAGGTTGAGGAGTAAAGGAGATAATGCTCGTGTAAGTGCTTAATGTATGGTGGTTGTTATTACTTCAAATCAATCAATGGAAGTAGTTTTGTGTGTGTTACATGCCACTGAGCGGGCTCTGACTCCTGGCGCCCCCTGCGAATGAGTGCTGTCCACAATGTCCTGCCCTCGACAGCCCTGCTCCGCTCCTGCAGACTCCTGCCCATGGTTCTTCGGGACTGAGTCCATCTCATATTTGGTCTTTCCCTCATCCTGAAGCCTTCTTTTTATCCCAGCATTATTATTTTCTCTGAAAGAGCCCGCCCTTCTCTAATGTGCCTCAAGTGGGATGGCTTCAGTCATTTTTGCTCCCAGTAAAGTTTCAGGCTTCATTTGCTCTAATACCCACTGGTTTGTCCTTCTGGTGGTCCACAGTATCCAGAGGTCTCCCCCAACACCATTTTTCAAATGAATCCACTCTTTTCCTATCAACTTTCTTCACTGTCCAACTTTCCCATCTATACATAGTTAACTCACTTTATCTGTGCCTCTTCCAATCATTTTCCTGTGCCCAAATTTCCCCTCTCCTTCAAGGCTCTGCTCAAATACTGCCTCTCCCCTACATGGTGAGCAGACATGTTCAGTGCTGAAGCCCAAGTCCCTCTTTCAGCTCCCCTTTACCTCTCACTTCCACAGCCAATCTTTTGAGCACAGTTGTCTACATTTTCTTTTATTCATCTAAGCATGATCAGTCTCTTGCACCCGCCAATCCACTGAAATTTCTGTTGCTAAATCCAGTGAAAGCCTATTAGTCTTTCCCATGAGCCAAATTAGTCTTTGCCCGCCCTCTCACTAGCTATGGACGCTGCTGACCACTCCCACCCCTGGCCACTCCCTTTGGGGCTCCCTTCACACCCCTGGTCCTCCATACACCCCATACAGCCCATGAGCACTGAAGTCCCACAGGACTCTCTCAGGATCTCCCAACTCTACTTGGCTTTCCCACAAGTACCACAAACTTAACGTGGTAAAAATGAATTCATCATCTTACTCCAACTTACTGAATTACTCAATCTGATAAAACAGCAATACCATCCACTCTGTTATTCGAGCCATAAATCTCAGACCCAGCTTAGATGGCTCCATCGACCCCTCATTCCCTGTATCCCTATTTTACCCCCTATTTGATTCCCATACCTCTGCCTTGATTCTTCCTGCCTAGAGTACTTCAATAGTCTCTAACTAGTCCCTCTGACTCTGCTTTTTTTTTTTTAAATAACAACCTTACTGAAACAGAAATTCATATATCATAAAATTCACCCATTTAAAGTAGGCAGTTCAATGGGTTTTAGTTCACTAACGAAGTTGTACAACCATCAATACTAATTTTAGAATATGTCACCCCCAAAAGAAACCCCATACCCAGTAGCAGTTACTCCCCATTCCCTCCTCCTCCAACCCCAGAAACCACTAATCTACTTTTTGTCTCCGTGGAGCTCCCTATTCTGGACACTTCACAGAAATGGAGCCATTCAATATGTGGCCTTTCCTGACTTTCTCAACTCTTACCCTCTCCCCCACTTCATTCCACCCTTCATAGCTACTGGATTAAACTTTATAAAATACAATTCATGTTATGTCACTGCCTTGCTTAAGATCCTTTAGGGGGTCCTGGTAGATTTCAGGATAGAGTTCATCCTCCTGATGACATGCTCATAAAGGCCCTTCCCAACCTGGCTCCCTCCTATGCCCTCCAGTCAATCAATTTACTAGTCTCTCTCTTTATTCCATTCAAACATTCAGTTTCCATCACAACTGTACCGCTTTGCCCATATGGTTTCCTCTGTTTGGAACACCCTTCTCTGTCTTATCTGTCTACTACTCACAGCTTTGCACTCTGCCAGCCCAGGAGGCCTGCTCAGACCCTTACTAGTGATTCAGATGCTTGGCACCTATGTTGCTATGGTACCCTCCAGCACACCCATTACTCCACTGTGCTGTAACCCTGTTATCTGTCTCCCCATGAGACCATTAGCTACTAATTGAGGGCACAGTCCATGTCTCATCTGCAGGCATGGAGTCACTTCAATACTTGTCAAATGAAGTCCTTCTGATCTTCGAATTAGCATTTGTTTAGTATGTACTCCACAATACCCAGAAGGCAAATTGCAGTAAAGAAGCTCAGAAGACAAACCCACACCCCCCTGAATTTCACAAGATATTGCAAAAGGCACATGACTATAAGGACTATGCCAAAAACACTCTTCTTAGAGAAAAAAAGCTATAGGCAAAAAACATTTTGATTTGGTGGAGTTCCATAACAAAACAAAGGAGATTGTTGTTTGACTGCCAATTTTTCATGCTGAAAACCCACAACTCCTAACTGATTTTCCCCTTGGAAAACTGTTTGTAGAATTTAGGCTCCCCATTAGGGAAACAAATACTTATAATGAGCCAGTAGGTAACAGAATAATTTGCTGGGAGAAAGGACTAAAGAAAGTACCTGTAGATAAACCTTCTTCGCACCAGGCACATAGTCTGCAATCCGGCCGAAGATCAGCCGTCCAACTCCCGAAGTGATGCCAATGCACATGAGGAGCACCTCTTTATTGTCGTTATCTTGAAACCTTTCATTCACATGTTTCATCTGTAAACCAAAGAGAAGGAAGCCACACTAAATATGGTAGGAGAACTTGACAAGTTTTGAGGCACTATACAAATGCCTACAATGTTGCCGACTGCCATGCCCTTCCAAATTTCAATATTTATTTGTAAAATGTGCTCTTTGAGAACATATGAGAGCATAAGAAGAAAAGCTAACATGCTTTAGTGTATATGGAAGAAGTAAGAATTTTTATGAAGTATTTTTAAATGTTTAATACAGGGTTACCGACGCACACAGTGTAAGTTAATGTCAATGGATCCATTCAGCAAAAGGAAGAGAACAGCCCTTTGAACACAGCACACGACCTTGCTCTATCAAGGTCACCCAGGGACCCAGCACATGATCTCCTTCCCTGAAAGGCAGTTTTAAAGATAAGTTCTAGAGTGTCATCTCTTCTAGGAGGGCCTGAACCAAACTGACACCACTGAATTAAGCTGTACTTGAGCTTCTATGGTAAAAGCATAAGGCTCTCTACCTGTGAATTTGCCTATTTGTGGGAAATGAGAGCAGATAAAGATACAGAGTCAGTTTAACACAGTGACTAAAAGAAAAGCCTCTAGAGAGACTGCTTTGTGTTCAAGTCCTGGTTCCATTCCTTATTAGCCTTGTGACACTGGGTAAGTTCTTAACCTCTAGAGCCTATTTCGTTGTTGGTAAGTAGAGACAGCAATGGTACTTGAAGAACGTAGTTGTGGTAATTAAATATCTGTATAAAGAACTTAGAAGACACACGGTTAATGATGATCAAAGATTAATTTTAGCCTATTTAAACGGGAACTTAAATTTAGTGTCTACTTAGAACAATGACTGTAAACCAACAGCCTGGCGATGTTTAAGAAGGCAGTGTGACCAGGCAGGCGTTATATTGGGTGACACAACACGCAGCTCAGCACCCACCATCTGACGTAAGCTTTGCTCCGGCAGCCGCTGGGTTTCCCAGTTTGCCCCAGCTTTCTTAGCACTTCCCTTTTCTTAGTGATCACCTATATCTGCTCACAACAAGGAGAAAAAGCATGCCTGTACCACTACTGAGATGTTACAACAAACATAAACTGCTGTTTCAAACAATCAGACTCACTGTCCCCCTATACCAGATATGGGCCTGAATTCTGCAAGCCTGCAAAGCAGATTTCCCAGAGAGTTCAAAGGCCCAGATGGTCCTCATGTAGCCCTAGTAACCTTTCTGGGTGACATCTTCTTAAGAGATTTCCACTTCACATTTTTAAGCCCACTTAGGCATGTCAGCACCGCCACATCTGTCTTTTCCCTTTCAAAACTGGTAAGGGTTTTCCTTAACGTCTATATTTTCACACTGCTTCAGACAGTCCTCTTAAATCTGGCTTTAATTTCATCAATCACTCCTTCATCAGTTTTCCACTGCCTACACTTATACTCCTTAGTCTGGCATTAAAAGCCTTCCTTAATCTGTCACCAATCTATCTTTGTACCTTTATTACCTAGCGATCCTTGATTCAGAAGTGTAAAACTCAAATGTGTGCAGCACTCATGCAAAGAGCATACAAGACTAAAACAGACTGCTGGAGAGGGGGAGCATACCATTCAGTTGAGTATTATTCCATAGGACCACCCGTGTTGCCTGGCCCCCTTTTATTTTAAAAAGAAGTCAGAAATTTGGATTTTTGTGTGGTAATGCTGGCACCTAACTTAAATTTAGAACACAGCATAATCCAATCCCACCCATATGAGCCAAATAAAACATGCCTGCAAATGGCATTAGGCCAGCTTTGATCTCAGCCCTAATCCCATCTGGCCCAGAGGATGGGTATGTTCAGTGTGAAATGTTCTCACCTTTCTACATTTCTGCTGCCTCTTCTACCTGTGTCTTTCTAAATTCTGCTTAAATCTTATAAAGCTGCCCTTGATTATCTCAGCCTTACACCCCCTTTTTGTTGCTGCCTAAAGTTTTCATTGCACCTTAAGTACTTTGTCCCTACCCAGCCTTTATAGCTTCTAGCTCTACACATACTCTTGAGTAGACTCTTGCAGGTCAAACTGCACATACGTACCTGCCTGTGACAAATGCACTTCAAAGTCAACACGCCCCATGCCGAACTCATCTCCCCTCACAACCTGCCCTCCCTTCCTGTCAGTTAACACTACTACTATTGGCCCAGCTACCCAAGGTAGAAACCTGATAATCATCCTAGATTACTCCCTCCTTCTCTTCAAATCCAAGAGCCACCATCAAATTCTGATGATTTCTCCTCCTAAATCTCTGTCAGACACACGCCCTTTGGTCCACGTTCCCCACCGTGTTTTAGCTGGGGTTCTTATCACTCCTCACCTGGACCACGACAACAGCCTTCTAACAATGCTTCTTGCTTGAACCTCCACTCCTAAGTCTCTAACCTATATTCTCCAAGACCACCAGATTAAGTCCAATATTAAAAATAACACTTCTTTGCCTAAGATCCCTTTAAGGCTCCCATAACCTTCAGAGTAAAGCTCAAACTCTGAGTTGGACAGATAAAACCTTCCTACTTTAATACTGTAGCCTCATCTTAGGCTGCCTCCTTATATTCACCATGTTAACACTGTGTTATCCAATATGGCGTGGGCTATTGAGCATGTAAAATATAGCTAGTTGAGTTGAGATGTACTATAAATGTAAAACACACAGCAAATATAGAAAACTTAGTGGGAAAAAAACAGCACATGAAGTATCTCATTAATAATTTTAAAATATTGATTCCATGTTGAAATAGTATTTTGGCTATACTGGTTAAATAAAATACATCATGAGACTAATTTCACTTTGTTTTTTACTTTTAAAAATATGGCTACTAAAAATTTTTAAATTTCATATGTGGCTTGCATTGTATTTCTATTGAACAGTGCTAGTCTAAGAAATCCACTTGTGGCTGCGAAGATAAGACAGCTGTCAACAAAGGTAACCTCAAACTGGTTTATTCCTCCAGGCCCTTATCACTTCCCATAAGTGAGATCAAAAAAAGCAGAAAAATGCCCTGGCCAGGTGGCTCAGACGTTTGGAGCACTGTCCAGTACACCAAAAAGGTCGCGGGTTTGATCCTTGGACCGGGCGCATACGGGAAGCAACCAATCGATGTTTCTCTCTCCCCTGCCCTCCTTCCTCTCTCTCTAAAATCAATAGACATCTTTGAGTGAGGACTGGGAAAAAAAAATAGAAAGATGGATTCCATCTCAATTCTGAAGAAAATTAATAACCTGATCTAAAGCAGGTAGGACATAATTAAATAATTGCATTGGCTTTATTTGGAACTTGAATCCAGATTCTACTGTATTAATCCACTTCAGGGAGCACCCAAGGGATCTATTATAACTTTTTAGGAAACATTTAGTATTCGAAAAAGACTAAATTTTCCATTCATTCCTTTGATGAAACCAAGAATACCTACCTATCAAATTGCCATTTTTTTTATTAGTGGCTTATTTTTTTCCCATGCTCTACTTTAATCCTTAAAAGAAATAATAAGGTGAAATGTTTTGAGTCTATTGAAAGAAGGTAAATTTGGTAAATTCCAATTATGCTTAAGGGGAAACTTAATTCTTCAGATGTAAAGGACATTTCGTAGAATTTTGTTATCGTTTAAATAAAGCAAGAACTTCAGCTTCTAGTACCTTGTCCCCACCCTCAGTCAAAATCTGCAAACTAAAACTAAGTTTTTTTACTCACTGAGTCAGGGAGCCTAGGGGTTTGGAGCACAGAATCTGAGGATTCTGGCTCTCTGGGTCCTGCAGGCCCTCCTCACAGAGGCGGCAGGACTTCAGAGGTCTGGTGTGCTCTGCTTGCAGCCCGTTGCTGCACTTCAGCAGAAAGCATGAATACTGGGCAAAATTGATGCTTCTAAGAAAGGGCTGCAAGGGCAGGGACATGAAAATGTGAAACAGATGGTTCCACATCTAACCTATTTAAACCAATACAAAGCTTGCACTAGAGGCCACTATCTACATAGAAGAAAACATCATTTTGTAGAGCAGTTGTGTTATGCTGACTTTATTTGAATGTGTAAGTGATTTTAGGGCAGGAATTAGTCTTTTATTTATGTTCTCGAACATCTGTTTACTCCAAGGCTGCAGACCTCTCAGGGATTATTGGAGCCTTGCTGATCAACAGCTTGGACAATGCCTGCTCATCCTAGCAACAAACAACTTCTCTAACCACTGAAGCCATCTTTGGATTGTGTGAAACCCTATTTATTGTCTTGTTATCCAAAGATAAACAAATCACAACCCCAAATATCTGCTCATTCTACAGCCGTGATGAAAGAAGGAAAAAAAAACAAAAACCAAACAGATCAAAGATCTAAGTACAAGATCTGACACAATAAATTACGTAGAAGAAAAGATAGGTACTAAACATATGGAACTTGGTCTTAAAGAAGATTTTATTAATTTGACCCCAAGGGCAAGGGAAGGCAAAAATAAACTAATGGGACTATATAGTAAACTAAGAAACTTCTGTACAGCAAAAGAAATCAATGACAAAACAAAAAGGTAACAGACCAAATGGGAGATATTTTTAAACAGCAGCTTTGACAAGGGGCTAATATCCAAAAAATATATATAGAACTCATACCACTCAACACCAAACAAACAATCCTGTTAAAAAATGGGCAGAGGACCTGACTAGATACCTCTCCCAAGAAGACATACAAATCGCCAACAGATGTATGAAGATTTTCAACTTCGCTAGCTATTAAAGAAATGCAAATAAAAACTGCAATGAGATACCACCTCATACCTGTTACTATGGCTATTATCAACATGAGAAGTAATAAGTGTGGGCGAGGTGGTGGAGAAAAAGGAACCCTCATCACTGCTGATGGGACTGTTAAATTGGTACAGCCACTATGGAAAACAGTATGAAGGTTCCTCAAAAAATTAAGAGTACAGTTACCATATAACCCAGAAATATCTCTTCTGGCTATCTATCCCCCAAATTTGAAAACATTTATTCACAAAGATATACGCACTCCTGC